TAGGGTATGTGGCGGCCGCATCTGCCCACGCCCTGCAGTGCAGGACCACGCGCTAAGGGGCACGACTTACGTTTTTATGGCTGACGCACTTCAGGAGGACCAGTTCGCGGTACGCTCTCTTGGCATGGGTTTGGTTTTGAAAAGGACGGCTTAGCTTCTTGACTGCGACATTTATCCCAAGAACTGTATCAAAAGCAGCACTGGAATGAAGGAAACACAGCTGTGAGGACGGCTTCGCAGTACCCCTTGGTGGGTCTCGCACAGAGTCCTTCCACTTACTCCCCTCGAGGCACCTCCACGTCCACAAGCAGAGGTCCCAGCCCGCTGTGGGCAGGATGCGATCCAGCAGTCCTCTGCAGGCCGCGCTGGCCGGGTTACTACGGGACTGCACACAGCGTGAACGACTGATCGAAAATAAACACGTCCAAGTTGAAAAAAAAGTTACTGCTCTGTCAGATTAAAATGTAAGTACGTTTTGGAGTATCATAGCAGAGGAAATGGTTGGGCTCATGAGAAGAATATAATAAATCTAAGTTTTCTTCGTGTTTTTCCCTGAGAAAAGGCTCTTAAAAAAAAGACCAAAAATGTCAGCTCATGATAAGTCCCCAAGATAGAACGTCCCTTACGTAAGCAAGTGTACCGTTCTCCTGGAAAGACCTCCCGTCCTATTATGTGAGAGGAAGACCGAGAGGCTATCTCCAGCATTTCTCTAGAAATTCAGGGTTCACTGTCCTCCAAGACACCGAGGTGGGAAGTGGAGGACCTGCTGCAGGGCTCGGGGTCTAGGGCAGCACCGGCCCCGTCACCTTCAGCCGCCCTCCAGGGCCACCAGCTGTGGGAGACCACTGGAGCGCCTTCTGCCTTTAGACACTGGCCTATCTAGTCTGCGAAGTTCACGATAGTGTTTGCATTGTTTCTCTTGTATCAATGGCGTTTTTGTCAAACAACTCTAAGTTCATTCAATCTGCCCTTAAGAATTATTATTTTATTTATTTATTTTGGAGAGATTTTTGCCATAGGTTACGTGCGCTCGCCAGACAGACAGAGAGAGACAGAGAGAGAGAGAAAGCGAGAAATCACCGCCAGGGGGGATGGTCACGCCGCAATCCCTTCTCCTCCATTCTCCTCTCGGGATCTTGGGCACGCACGCACACGCGCCCGGCATGAGTTTAAGCCACCGGGTCCGGGACTTGAACCACAGTTGGCTACATGGGAGCAACAGTCATTACGCTAACTCCTGGTCCCAAGAATTATTAAAAAGTCTGCATCCTATTTTTCTTTAATTACTTTTAATTTGTAATTAAATGGCAAAATGAAGACAAACTGTGAAACAAATCATTCATTAATGCGTGTGTGCACACGTGTGTGTTTATACCTAGTCTATTCTACAGACACAAAAATGGTGAAAACCAAGTGGCTTTTACTCGGATTTCTCTGACTCAAGAATTTAAAACAGACACATCACGTGGGTCTCAGAAGCTTTTGTCCAAACTTTGGTTAGGAAGAGCGAGTTCGGGGTCCATCGCTAATAACGACGTGTTGTAGTCTTGAGAACTGCCAAGGAGTAGATTCTAAGTGTTCCTACCATGAACAAAAGCATGTAAGTGAAGCCCGTGAGCCGGCCGCACCAGCGCCCCCTACAGGCCTGCGTCCAAGCACCAACCCCGACACAGGGCTTGCAGTGTTCAGTTAAAAAGGGTCTGTCCAAAATGAGCTGACGGACCAGCTCTCGGAGTCTGAAGGCACACCTGCTCCCCTGCTCCCAGACCCAGCTTGGAAACAGCTACCTTCTGGCTTGGGTTCTGGTGGTCACTCAACACCAAAAAATAGGTCTTCTCACCATTGCTTGGTTCTTCGACTTCAGGAAGCATCTACTTACTCCTCGTTATGAAAACTTACTTGAAATTCCCAGCATCTACCAGTTGTTTGTTCTCAGGCTGTTTTAGATTTTCTCTTGGTTGTCTTCGTAACCTTAAATATGCCTAAACTTCTCCAACCTGCAAAGGCCCCTCTGCACTTCCCTGAGCATAGCACGGAGTCCTTCCACTTACTCCACTCGAGGCACTTCCACGTCCATGAGCAGAGGTGAGGATGCTACGTCCCATCCCCGTCTCCCAGGGCTCAGGCTCTTCCAACCTGCAGGCCCAGCAGCATGCGTGGGGTTCCATCTGAGGGCAGGTGTGAGCTGCTCGCTCGCGCGCACACACACACGTGCACACCCCGGTCTGTGTCACGTCCAGCGTGTGCAGCAGTGTCTCACGTGGGTGGAACTTACGTGTCCCTGATGAGTAGACACTGACAACAGCTGTCACTGTGTAGGCCCGTCTCCAGGTGCTCAGCCGCTCTCTCCCCTCGGAGTCGGCCCTCACTGCACTCAGGAGGACACTGCCAGAAGTGTGCCTTCCTACTCTGCTTGTTGGGTTTTTAAGGTAAATCAAAGTTGTTCATTTCAGTGGGTAAGTCCCTAACACTTAACGATGAACACTGCTTTTGTTTTTGGAGAGGGTTTTTTTTTTTTTTTTGCTATAGGGCACGTGCACTCGCCAGAAAGAGAGCGAGAAATCACCCCCCAGGGAGGATGGCCACACTGCCTACCTGTCTGGCTTGAGTTTAAGCCACTGGGTCTGGGTCTGGGACTCGAACTATGGTCGACTGCATGGGACTCCAGCGACATAGCCTTTATGCCAGCTGCTGGGCCCTATGAAGAACGCTTCTTATGTCTGACTCAAAGATCACGAGGAAATCACCTCCATTAACTTCAGCGGCTTCACTGTGTTTGCCTTACACATTTAGAGTAATTTAAACGAGACTTATCTTTGCAGAGGAGGCTGGGATCAAGTTAAATTTCCCACATGAGTCTTCGTACGTCCGCTTACGTAAGAGCTGCCTCCCGCTGCTGGCAGGCCACTGTCAGAGCTGCGGGCCCACGAGTGGCCGTCTCCAGGTTCTGACGTGCCGGGCCCCACCCACCCCCGTGCCCAGGCCACACCAGCTCTTGCTGGGCTTCGCCGTCTACTCTCCATGTCTGGCAGAAGGAGCCCTCCATTTTTCTAAAGGGCACCCTGAGTATTCTAAGACCTTTATTTCTACATACAAATGTTAGAATCGGTCTTTAATTTCATTTTCCTTTTAAAAATTACTGTGTCCAATCTGTAGACAAGATGCAAACTTCACCTTGTATTATTAAGCACCCATGAACACACTACAGCCTACCATATTTGAGTTTTATTTTTTCTAATATTTTTCAACTTTTCACAAAGAGGTCTTTCACATTATGTTAGATTCTACTCCCCCTGATATGTGATAGTTTAAAATTACTTTCCTATTTTAAATGGATACCCAGAAAATTCATTGAGGGGCCAGCAGGCAGTGTGGTGGATAAGAGCGCTGGATTCCCACATAGCCGACCATGGTTCAAGTCCTAGACCTGGTGGCTTACTTTCTCACTTTCCCTCTCTCTCTCTCTGGTGGTTAAATAAACAAACTAACAAACAATAACAAATTAAATAAATAAATATATATATTTTAAAGTTAATTGATTTATTTTCTTCTTTTAATTGCCAGGGGCCTCTGCGCTCACTGGAGGGGTGGGAGAAGCACCCGATGGGAGCGTGGTCACGCTGCAACCTCCCTCTTCATTTCTCCACCCTGTCAGGATTTTAGGCCCGCACGCACACCCATCTGATATGTTTTCAAGCTGCCGGGCCTGGGATTCAAACTGTGGTTGGTCATATGGGATCTGGCTTCCTTAACCACTTGACTACAGGGTCCCCCCACCCCTTTTTCTGGTATACTGACCCTCTGTCCTGAAAAGGAGTTACACATAAAAGGAGACTATCCTGGTGGCCCTAATCTAATCACTGGAGCCTTCCCAGGCACTGCCCCAGGGTGGGGAGCAGGGAGGAGTCAGAGGGGCTGAGTCGGAGAGGGCTGGGCCTGCCCTCAGCGGGGGTCACCCGAGAGGAAAAACAGGAGCCCCTTGGAGTACAGAAGGCTTCGGCTGACAGAGCACAAGGAGCTGGGGCCTGAGGCACAGCGCTGTGAGAAACTATCCTGCCAAAAGATTCTGTAACAGCCCCATGAGGCTGGAAGCAGTTCTTCCCCAGCTCCTCCACGTAAAGCTCCATGCAGCCAGTCTTGGCTTTTGCCTCTTGAGAGGCTCAGTGGAGAACCCAAGCAAGTCCACCCTGGTTTCTTTCTTTTTTTTTTTTTTTTGGGAGAGATTTTCACTGTAGGGCGCGTGCGCTCGCCAGACAGACAGAGAGAGACATAGAGACAGAAAGCGAGAAATCACCCCCCAGGGGGGATGGTCACGCCGCAATCCCTTCTCCTCCATTCTCCTCTCGGGATCTTGGGCACGCACGCACATGCGCCCGGCGTGAGTTTTAAGCCACCGGGTCCGGGACACGAACCGCGGTTGACTACGTGGGAGTCCAGCGACATAGCCATTACACTAACTGCTGGTTCCCCACCCTGGTTTCTGACCTCTGGGACTGGGATAAAAAATGGGCAGCGTTTTAAACAAGGTCGTGGCAATATATTATATGACAATAGAAAATAAATACATCCTCTCTTCTGTATTCTTTTATTCTTTTGTCTCTCCAGGCTTAATCTTGGATAATTCTTCCTACTCTATCATCTAGGTCACTAATTTTCTCTTCAGTTTTATCTAATATGCTATTAAGCCCATACGCTAAGTTCGTAATTCCTTAACAATAATTCCGGGCTATAGAATTTCTATTTAGTTCCTTTTTTAAAAAAGATTTTGCTTCTTCAACAAAATTTTCCATCTTGCATTTTATTGTCTTGAACATATTGTCACAGCTATTTAAAAACTGGAATCTAGTGCTAGACCTCCTGTGGGTCTATTTCTGCGTTTGTTGTTCCTTAGGGGCTTTGTTCATGCTGTCTCCACTCCTTCTGTGCCTAGTTATTTTTTATGGTCTCCCTGACCTTGCATTTGTAAAACCATCTGTGGTCTCGAAATCATCTGATGCCTGGTACGATGCTATCCTTCTCCAGGAGAGAGCTAGACTCACTTCTACCGGGTGCCTGCAACAGGCTCACTCTGCGGAAGTGTCACGGTGAGATGGTGACTCGATGGTGAACCAGCCACTGTGCTCCTGAAGTGCAACATTGCACTGGTCCCCTACAGGACAAGGGAGGTCCCCGGGCCCCTCACAGAGCCGTGCACTCTACGCCTTCTAGGCACCAGCAGACCAGAGCGCTCAACTTCTCGGCGGTCACTCCTCAAATGCTCCCAAGGAAGGATGGCCCCAGATGCTGGCTCCTGTCCTTCCCTGGAGTCTGACCTAAGGTTGCGTCCCTAACTTACTGGCTCTCAAGGGGAAAACGCCAAGTACGGGGAAGGTAGAGACGCTGGAGCCCACTGGCACAACCGCTTCATAACACACGACCAAGCGTTACAAACGCCTCGTCTGCCTATCTCCCTTGGCTTTTATCTGTATCGGGATCCCAACCTGCTCAGCTCTCATCTACGCAGCCCTGCCTCCCTGTTCTCGCTGCAGTGCTTGGTCTGCCATCTGAAACCAGAGGGCCCAGCCGCTAACTGGATCTTACTTTGAACTTTGTACACACATGTGCACGAGAGGGAGAGAGAGGGAAACCGTGGCAGGATTTCCTCACACCAAATCTCTCCTCAGCTCTCCAGGGCTTGAGATCCTGGAAGTCTGAGTGCCTAGGATTGCCCGGGATGCTTTCACACCTAGCTGGGGATCTGGACCCACGGTAGGCCTCAGGCTTCCAGCCTTGCAGGGTACTTGTGTTACTGCTGGGCCACAGCAGCGGGGCCACAAAGCATTCATGTGAGGGGAGAAAAAGTTAAGCCCATAGTGACACATGATCTGCCTGAGGTCACAGGGAGCTGCCACTACGAGGGGCAGGGCTGGACTCGGACCGAGTCCACCGATCAGCCACGCTGCATCTTCCGTCGCCATGGAAACTGTCATGGGCCTTGTATCCTCATCTACTTAGATGAACAGGGAGAGAGTGAACAGTGCTAAACGGGCCATGTGCCCGCTGGTACAGAAGCTGAAGAAACAGAAAAGGATAAAACGAAAAGGGCTATTCCATGTTAAGGTTGCAAATGTTATTTCTTCTTTTTTTTGGAGAGGTTTTTTGCTCTAGGGCATGATAGAGAAAGAAAGATAGAGACAGAGAGACAGCAAGCAAGAAATCACCCCCCAGGGGGGTGGCCACGCCGCAATCCCTTCCCCTCCATTCTCCTCTCGGGATCTTGGGCACGCACGCACACGCGCCCGGCGTGAGTTTAAGCCACTGGGTCCGGGACACGAACCGCGGTGGACTACATGGGAGTCCAGTGACATAGCCATTATGCCAACTGCTGGTCCCAGGAATGTTATTTCTAAGGTCAGGCTTCATATTAAACATTTTTAAAAAAAGAAAAGAAAAGGTTAAATATTTCTTTCTCTTTTTTTGGAGAGGTTTTTGCTATAGGGCACGTGCGCTTGCTGAAAGACAGAGAGAGACAGAAAGAAAGAAATCACCCCCCAGGGCGGATGGCCACAGATCAAGTCGATAAATTATACAGTGGCGATATTTTAAGAAGAGAGAGTTCGGAAACCCAACACCTGCCGTCGGCACAGGAGCTGATCTGTCGTCGAGCTTATTCCGGAAGGTGACGACTGCTCTCCGGAGCAGGATGTGCGACCACCAGACACTCCCGGTGCTCCTTGGCGCCCCCTAGCCAAGGGAGACAGGCACAAAAGACGAAGGGGAGGAAGCGACGCCTGCAACTGCCCTGCCTCCCTAGGGGACCCCGAGAAGCAGGGCACGGTAGAACCGAGCATGGCTCCGCTGAGACGGAAACCCTGAACATGACGATGAGCTGTAGGGAGGGCTGGGAACTTTCAGGTAGGCATCTAGTGAGTATTCGCACTGCTAGGCGCTAAGCACATGGGAGACCTGGTCACATTGGGGGGCCCGCAGCCTGTCCTCACTGCAGGCTGTCGACAAGGTCCCCAGGCCCAGGCCTCCACCTCATCCCTGTGAGATGGGAGGGCCCACGGGTCCGCGGTGAGGGAAAAAGTAGAGCTGGCAGGGTCAGACAGCACGTGTGGTCACCCTCACCACTGGCCTCCAGAACCGGGGAGCGAAAGGCTGACAGGCAGACGAGGCCGGCCTGCTGTAAGTGGCCCCTCCACACCCTCTGAAGCTCACACGTGTCCCTCCCACCCTCCTGTCCTCTCTCACCACACTATCTGGCAAGTGACCACCTAGTTCCAAATAACAGGTAGCTTGCAAATCCAAAGAACTTTCACTGCCGAAGACTTCGATCCCGTCGAGGTTCCTGGTTTGAACTGTCTGACTTGACAATTTCCCACAGCACCTGCGGTTCAAGGGCAACACAGCATGGGTCGTGCGGAGGTTCTGGTCACCCCGTCTCAGCCACATGCCGGGCATCCTGCCTTCTCCCACTGGGTCTCCCTGCAGCCCTCAGGGCCTCCCATCACCCAGGCCAGAGAAAGCAGCGGACCCCCCACCATGTGTCTCTGCAGCACGGCATCAGTTAGAACCGTGAGGGCCAGCAGGTGGCATGCTGGTTAAAGCGCTGGATTCCCACATGGCTAAATGTGATCGGGGTCCTGGACACAGCAGCTTGGAAATCACAACAAGTAAACAGATGAATAAATGTTTTTAAAAATGATGTAAACTCCCTTAAACTCAGTACTTCTACATGAGAACACAGTATCCCTCACCAGAACACGCAGCTGTCTTTTAGCTGGAATCTCCCTGCCTGCTCGCTATAAACATTTGATATTAACTTCTTCATGGATGTTTTAGGTGCAAAGGTAATTTTATCTTTATTGACCAAAAGAAGAAGAAAAAAAGACGTGCCAAAAAAAAGCAAGGGAAAAAAGTTGGGGAAGTGCAGTCAACTGAAGTCCAGAAAACACGAGACAGTTGGCCTTCGGCCCACAGCCTGGTCCTGCCTCATGAGAGCCGAAGTTCCAGTTGGGCTGCACCCCGATGTCCCAGGCTGCAGGCCACCAGGCTAAGGGCATTGACATCCTGGGCTGCAGGGCACCAGGGTGCAGGCCCCGACGTCCCGGGCTGCAGGGCACCAGGCTAAGGGCTCCGATGTCCTGGGCTGCAGGGCACAGCAGAGGCACCTGCCTGCCCGCACAGCGCCCCCTCCTGGTGACTGCGTGGAATGGCCCTGACTGGCCTCCCCATGCCAGGGAGTGGCAGGCACACAATGGCACCGGAAATGAACCAGTGATCAGGAGTTGAGGGGACGGGCGGGTGGCGGTGAGGAAGAAATGAGTAAAATCCACATTTCTGCACGACTCGCTGTTACGCCTACGACCCCGACCCCACCACGTCAGGGGGTTGTTGGAACCAACGAGATAAAAGAAAAAAGAAAGAGAGACAAGTAAAGAATACAAACTTTCCATTTAAATTTCGGTCACACTCCAAGGATGTGCCTTGAACCCTGTCTCCTGACTACATCCGCCCAGAGCAAGAGGCTGAGGGATTCAGCGCCAGCCACAGCCACGAGGACCTTCTGTCTCCCGCCTCAACTCCGGCCAGTGGCTTTCCTCCTGCACAGCAACGCTCGGCCGCACCCAACGCGCGCACTCACCAAACGATGCCCTGCGCCCCGGAGCCGACTGGCTTCAGCTGCTGGTAGCGCTTCAGGACGGCGAAGGCCGCGTCCGCCACTTGCACGCTGTAAAACTGGCGGCCACATCTGCTGTCACTCATGATGCAGTGTCATGCGGTATCCCGGAGAGCGGGGCAGTCGTCGGTTCCTTGAAAGAGAGAACGGAGCTCACGCTCAGCACGAGTTTACAGACGCAGCTCCCGTGACGCGTCGGGTCTGCGGTGGGAAGAACGGGCACCAGCTTTGGCGACGGGGTGCGGAGGGAGGCGTGCCCCCCCAGGTCACTCCCCACAGAAGGCGCTGGCCCTCCGCCGTGCCCCGCTGCGGCTGAGGGAACGCCTGCAGACCCAGAGACGGGAACCGCTGCCCTGCCAGGCCCCGGTCTGGGCCGCCACGCTGGGCCTGGCGCACCCCAGCCTCGGCCTCCAACGGCGCCGGCAGCTGCATGCAACCCACACGCCGACCAGGATGGAGCGGAGCAGCTCCGGACTTCGGGATGCAGACTTACTGTACCATTTCATCTCAAGATGTAAAGTAATTCCGAAATTAAAATACGGTAGCCTTCACTAGCCAGGAAAAAAATCACCAAGGGGAGACCCGTCAGGGCAGAGCTCCGCGAGAGCGGGAGAAAGGACCTCAGGCAAGCGCTGAGCGGACCGAGGGCTCCTCGTGCCGCCACACGAGGCACACACGGACCGTCTGCCGCCTCGTGTCCCACGCCAGCGCTGGCTCCTCACACTCGGCTCTCACCGAACTGCTGTTGCCAGCTCCACCTGTCCAACACACCACTCTGCACCGGCAGCACCCGCACACCTGCACACAGGCAGCCCTGGTGGTACCCACACACGGGCATCCCCGGCAGCCCGCACACCCACACACGGGCATCCCCGGCAGCGCCCGCACACCCACACACGGGCAGCCCTGGCAGCGCTCTCCTGAGTTTTTTCAGGTCTGCTCCGGCCCTCAGGCTGTAAGCTCCTGGAAAGCGGGAGGGAACACACATAGGAGGGATGGGTGTAAAGAAGGCTTCCTGGAAGAGGTGAGACGAAGCTCAAGGCTGTTCACAGCATCGGCGAGGCAGGAGTACAGGTGCTGCCATACACATCAGCAGGAGCTTCCCATTGGCAGAGCACCTCCTGGTGGGAATGCAGGTACCAACTAGCCAACAGGGAGCAGCAATCTTAAACCCGCAACTGCAACTCCACGGACAGCTCTGATGAAGACGTGTGCGCAGGGGTGTCTGTGGGGCTCTCCGCAACAGGCGAAACACCAGGAGTAACCTAAAATACCGTGGTGGGCTGACTGAACATGCTACAGCGCGGAGGACGGAGTACAGTGAGCCACGACCAGAACGCAGGGCTCTATGGAATGGCAGGGACACAGCCAGCGTGCCCAGGAAAGCAAGCGGGTTAGAGAGCGCGGGAGCCCACTGCATGTAAGCACGCAGACGCGCAGGGCCGGCACGTGGGAGCACATGGGAGCACGGGAAACCTCAACTCTTCCTGTTATAACCTCTGAGCCTTTTTTAACCATGTACACATTTCACATTTTAAAAAACGAATTAACCAAAAAACGTTTAAATGAAAAGCTGCAGAATGATCACTCTGACTTGTGTTGGGAGGTGGGACGGAAGGCGGCAGAGAGGCCGGGGCTCCAGGGACAGGCACGCCTCACAGCAGCTCACTCGGAAAATGGAAGCAGGCTTGGAGACGGGGAGGGGCCCCGATCCCGGCCGGCCCAGTCTCAGTTCGGGCCAGTCTGACCGCTGTGTTCATGACCCTCCCGACATGGCAGTCCGACCTCTCTCACCTGATGCGGACAGGGAAGCC